TTCCATTCCATTTTAGAGCCCTTGGGCAGGAGAAACTCTGCCCTTAGAGACGGGACACCCATGCTGGTTGTCCTTGGCATGTTAATGCCGCGCTGGGTGTCCCAGCCTCCGAGGGCAGTTCCCCTGCCCACCACTTTTGCTTTCAACAGGTTTTCTCTCAAAATTAGTCTGACAGTGGCTTTGGCTGTTCAAAATAAAAAGTGAAATAGAAAGAAATCCTATCAATATATCTTTGTGATATTCTCATTATGTACAGACATTCAAATTGACCACTTAATAAATGTAAATTAAGTATGGGATATCTTACTTTCATATTACAAAGAAATTAATTAGTTATTTTAGGCCCATTGTAATGAATTGCCAGCCCATTTATCAAAAACATACAGTCACATGCACACACACACACACACACACACACACACACAACTTACGAGCACACTGTTCTTTTTTGTTTATTTCAATCTCCATATCAGATGTCATCTGCAATAGTATAATAAATAAATGGAATCTTAGTTAAACAAGATACAAATCCTAGATTTCTGTATCTTCATTTTTGTTTTAAAAAATTGTACCATTACAACAATGATCATCAAAACGTGTGACAAGAAATTTTCCAGAATTTCATTTAGAATATAAATAATCATTGAAAAATCATGAACAACGCTGTGAAAAGGCGCTATGTGGGCTTACTTTTAAACTTGATACAGGATTTCAGTTTGGAATAAAAAATAAAACTTACCAGCGACTGTGTAGACATTGTCTCTTTGCTTTGTTTACAAAACAATAAATGAGAATAATGATTGTATAAAGAAATTTCATTGGACGGCTCCTGTATTGTTTCCATAACTTTTAACCAATCAGATTGAAGTTTCGTTGAAGCTCTCGACCTTGAGTCTTTCTACTAAATGCAAATCACAATATATCACAATATATATCACAGAGCCTGGACCCTGGTAATATCTATTGCAGTGCCAGAACCCTCTCCCTTTTTGCAAGAGTTTCTTAGAAAGCAGGCGGTGAATCTGTTGCTGATACTGGCCACAGTCCATTACAAATCCAAATACCTCTTGCATAGCGCCATCTATACGAAACAATGCCTATGAGGGTGATACTGAAAAGCCGGGGTTTTCATCAAACGTTCTATACACTAAGTGTCACCTACCATCAGGACACTTTCCTACGATGGTTCTGTTATAGATTCTAATGGCAAATTTAATCGGTGAGTTCAGGATGAGACATCTGAAGTGAAGGACCCATATGGTATGGACTGTGTCAGTTGTTCACTGTTCACATCACGATGCAATGTGCTTGTGAAGATTTTACAATGTGCTACAGAATGTTGATGTGCAGATTAAAAGTGCTTTTCATCTGTGGTTTAACAATGGCTTATGAAAGTGAGATAATTAACTGGAGAACTGACGTTGTATCTAATCTGTAAGTAGACCTTCTTGTTCCTCTTCAGCCTTGACTTACAGCAACACTTTATTTTGTAAGTTTTTTTATATTTATTTCTTCACAGTTAATATGATGTACACATGTAGAAAACTTACTAAATTACTCTAATATTCTGGGTCTTAAGGACAAAGCCTCAGATCCATCATCTGACTACACTGTACTAGGAGGCACGGACTATACTGCCACAATGGAACACAATGACTCCACACTACTGCACTGTACTAGGAGACACAGGACTATACTGCCACAATGGAACACAATGACTCCAGACTACTGCACTGTACTAGGAGGCACAG